AACTTAATTCATTCTATTCATAAGTTTTTTTGAAAGCAGTTCAAAAATATTATAGATATATCGGAATGATTATTTTCATGTACACACTTGTGCATTTTTTAATTTCGATTTGACTCACTACATAGTCGTATACGGTGACTGGAGATTTAGGTAGTAGTAGATGAATGCTTCTCCTCCGGCCACAACCTACACCATTTAAGTGAATCCAATACAAATTTTAATGATGAGTAATAAATCTGTCTATAGCTAGGTGAGTTCAACATTTTGCAAATTATATGTCATTTTGAAATTCTTAAGAAATTGTATTTCCATATGTTAGATGATAAATTGATAACTAACATTAGTTTATTTAACTCCCGTAGATAGATCGTTATAAACTTCTCCGTTATGAAATATTTTGTAAAAGAAAATATTAGATCATCCACACATATTTTCTAAGATTGTAGATCATAAGTTGCAATATTATATATTGAATGAATAACATAAGTATTTATTTATTTCTAGATGAAAAAAGTAAGTGTCTTTTGTATTTGTATTTGTAATTCAATTTATCCAAATTGTGTCTCATAACTTTTGTATAACCATCCTCAAATGTTTCCTCACTGAATAGCATTATATGTTTGAATCCATCTTTTGTTCATTTAGATAGCTTGTCATACAATTGTTGATAAAACAATTATTACCTATTCACCGTTTACATTATGTTGACACTGCAGAGTCCGCGGTCTTACAAATTATACATATAAACAAACATTTTAAAAACGTATCTACGATGTTTTAATATTTCAATCGATTTCAAATAGGTCTAATTAACTACATATTTTAAAATCGTTTGTGTATTTTTTTGATAAAAGTTTGAGAATGTTATACCTTTTTGTCCGAATGATTGAGAAAATTAACAAAGAGGTTACCGCTAAAGCAAAAAACCATTGCGATTGATGAATTTACGTTATCATTTATTTTTATATCGAAACATTAATGTATACAACAATAAAACGTGTAGTTAAAATGAGTGAAAAAAGTCATAAGTTAATAGTAATTATTGTATATAAATACATGGATACTTTAAATTAATAAATAAAAAAAAATACGTCGTACTAAATTTAAGGGGATCGCAAATGGATAATTTATAAGGGGTCCAGTATAGGCAATATTACTGGTTTTTCCTTTCGATTCCTACTGGTGTATGCTTAGTAAATTAATATGAGTGTGTACGCACTAGCTACTAAATACCATTGAACCGTATTATAAAACGGATGCACATCCCACACAACTAAAAATCTGAACATTATTATTTTTTTTTTTTTTTTTTGAGAGGGGGGGGGGCTAAGAACTCTAGGCAACCCCTGAGATTTTAGAATATGCATTCGATGACGCACTTCTCTTTCCTGAAAATTACAACAGGTATCTTGGAACTCATTATTAGTCTACGTCTGAGTAGAGTCCCCTCAAAAAGATTCTGATGAACGTAGTTTTAGATGCTGGAGATCACTAAATAAAACATAAAAACAATTAAATAAATGTAGTGAGTTATACCTCTACATCATCTATATAATATGTTAATATTAAAGGAATCAAACTCTAAATATTGTAATAAATTACTTACATTTGTATTCACAATATTAGTAGCAGGCATATAATTATTATGAATGTTTAATATTTTGTTTGGGTATTTATATCGTTTAAATATAGTATTAATTTTTTACCCTTTTCCACTGTAGATATTTTCGGAATCGTTTCTGCTTGAGTCTTAATTAGAATTTTAATTTCAAAAGAGTGTCAAATTTAAGTACAATTTATCGTTTAATAAAAATTATTTAAGTTCAGCAAAAAAATTGTGGGTTATTACTTGTTACTAAACATGTCGTTCTTAACTGTACTGTTCCCAATAGTTATTCAGCATAATATTTGTATTATTCTATGTCTAATATTTTAAACTTAGTTCATTTAACATAATATCATATTAATAACTAGTTATTATTATTAATCGTTTTACAGTTGAAATAGCGTTTTGTACGTATACATTTTATTTAATTTATTATAAAATGTTTGTATAGTTTTTCACCATAAAAATTATTCAAAATTCTTTTACTCATATTTGAATTCCACTAACTGGTGTAAACTATAAATAAAAATAAAAAGTAAAAATGAATCAACTATTCCATATTTTGATTTGTGTAAAGAATTCAACATACAATCAATAATGTTTGTATTATAAAATTTTGAATTGAAAAAAATAACTGTATAAAATAATACACACATAAAATTTAATATATTATATAAATAGATTAAATTTAAACATTTGATATTATTCTGTGCTTGATTTGATACAGTTTATAATCTTATAGTCTACTCTGTGACGCCATGCATCGGTTGTAGTTAATAAATAGATAGGCAGATTGGTATTTATGTCAAAATTATTTAAGTTAAAATTATAAAAAAATTTCTTAACGTATGTAGTCTCCTAGTTAATAAATAGATTAGAGGACTTCATACTTTAAGACATTTTTTTATAATTTCAACTTAAATATTTTTGGTTTAAATTTCTTTTTTTTTGAGTTACTTGTTCTTAAATATTGGTGAAGTAGATCTTGAACGTGCATCTTGATGATTGAGTTCCTCTGTCAATAGATTTTTTATATTTTTATAACTTTATAACACATAAATGAATTAATCACATATAAGAGAAAACAGAAATTTTTTCCCATACTTTTCAAATGATTATACTTTTCTATATACATGGTGTTTACTGCTCATAAGACTCATAGTTAATTTACTCATATACTTATTAGATTCAAAACAACTGGTCCCGATTTTCATGTATTCTATCACACAACAAAAAAATCGTTTAAAAAAGATTAAAATAAATACAACCAAAATTATCTATTTAATATACGAAATAAAATCATGATTTATCAAGATAAGAAGCAGATAAATGTTTGAAAAATGATGGTGTACGGGCCGGATACGAAACAATAATAGGCCGTGCCGCCCGGTCACCAAAAATACTTCGCGCGGTACTCACACACCGACCGACCTGTGTAAAAGTGCGTATATGTGTATAGCGACTCAAAGGAAGTGGACGGGTTCGCCGAGCAAGACCGAAGAGTGCTAGTGTGTGGTGGGTGTGTAAGTGTGTATTTGTGTGAGTGTGTGCTTAAAAATTAATAATAAAAGGTAACACGTTCAAGTAAATAATTAGTTGCTGTATAATTCACGAAATCAATAATAATGTAACTATATTAGAATCCCAGCAACACGATAATACAGTTCAAAAAAAAAAAATATAATATAAATCATTAATGTGTGGCCCCCCTTATGACCCGAATAAAATATAATAATTGTACGGCCCTTCTGGCACGATAATAATTAATATGACAAAAATATAATGATAAAATAACTCACAGTTTGTGGAGCGCAGTCTGGCCAGCTGGTCCTAGCTATTTAATGAAAATAAAGATTCACACACACACACAAGATAGGAAAAAATATAATAACAATGATAATATAATAATTTTACGTGGCCCTCCTGGCCCAACAAATATGATATAATAATTTTACGTGGCCCTCCTGGCCCAACAAATATAATATAATAATACTACGCCGCGACGATTCGCGCTCACAAATAATATAACAACTGTGGCGATTCGCGCACACGGATAAAACAGATATATTATAAAAAACACAGCGATTCGCTCGCGTACACGAATGATATAATATAATATAACAATAATAAATGTGGCGATATGCGCCTTACACAATAATAAAATGTTTGGCGATTCGCGCCTTACACAAGTAATAAAATGTGTGGCGATTCGCGCCTTACACAAGTAATAAAAAATGAATAATAATTTGCGTGGCGATTAGCGCCAATATAAAACAATATTATAAACCTGGCAATTCGTGCCGACAAAGAAAACAATATAACACCTTATTTCATATAACGGCGATTAGCGCACGTAATAATGCGTGTTTCGATTTCACTACGAGAACTGGACTGCCGGCTCGGGCGGCCGTACTAATTCATCCCGTTTTCCAGCGAGCCGGTGGTGGCTGATAGCGCGTATGCGACCGTGCGTAATCTACGTATATTATATAACTCACGATATACACAATACACGGAATATAATACTAAAATAAAACAATAATAATATAATACAAATAAAACAATAATGTTGTGCGTGTATGTGTGTGTGAATCGGTGGTGCGGTGTGGTAGTGCGGAGGCATTAATAAAAATAATTAAACGGCAATTATCAAACGCGAGTATCAGCGGCGGCGCAAACAGATAGTATGAACTCTTAGTAATGCATCGTCCTTTTTTACGGTCGGCCAGCCATCTACATTCCTTCCCTGCTGCCATCTTTGAAACTTATTATTCTTAAAAACAAAGTAAGATAGCACTTCCGAATAAAGGAGGGTTTTTACGAAAACGTCAGTTTTGCATAACTCAAAAAATGCTAAAAGCGTAGTCTTAGTAGGATTATTAAGCTTCTCTGCCAAGTTATTAGGGGTGAAGTACAGCTAGATGAAAAACCGTAGGATATCGTTCATGAATGGAAAATGACTATATTCTCCATACTACTTCGGTACAGCTGATATACCTACCAATTTCGTACATTGTAATCTCATCCTTCTGGTTTTCTATTGCAAACGCTGCTTGGTCACTGCCTTTGTTTGCATACTTACAGATGTACTTAACACACTTAACAGAATTACACATCTCTGCATTTATGTGACTAATGAAAGTACGTAATAAGACTGGGTTGTAAGGCGCAACCCAACAATTGTCTAAATCAAGTCCCTTAATTCTTACAGTGAAACCACAGTCATTTGTAGACCTCCTTGTGTACTCTGGATATCCATCGTCTCCTGTCTGTGTTTCTCGACAAAGTTTTCTAGGGTATCTTTTACTGCATGTATTTTCGTTCATGCAAGGAGCATTAGGGTTTAAACTGCCGCAGGGTCCATGGACCATGAATCATGTTACTTTTGATGATGTCACATAATAGCAAGAGGGTCTTGCTCGGGGTCAGGTATTTTGGCACAAATGGTATTATCAATTATGTTTGATGAAATTCGATTCTTTAGCCATAGAATCTTAATGTGAACGCGAGGCAATCCTCGCTTTTGCCACTTCGCAGAATACATATAGCACCGAACGTCTCCAAATAATTTTCCTTTAGTCAAGAGTGCCATTAATTTCTTTACTTTAATATGAGATACTCTCGCTATAATGTCATGACGATCGTGCGGCTTTTGCCCAGAAAACAGTGCATCTATGATGTCTTTCCAAGTAGGATTATAATATGTAAAAGTGATGAATAGATCCGGGCGACCATGTGTAATGGCATATTGATTTCGTTCATGCATATTCTTAGGTCCGCCCGTAAATGATGAAGTAAGTTCTACCATTTGACCTAGATCAGTCGCATTAACATCATTCTTCCCCACAGCATCTTTAAGATGAATATAGTTCTCAGCTCTTAGCTGTTTCTGATGATTCCTAATAAAATTCCACCTTACAGTTTAAATTTTTGCGTACATATCGACCAAAAATTGACTGAAGAGGGAGCGAAAGTATACAATATGGTTAACTTCATCTTGCTAATCATATTTCGGTAAGCATAAAAAGATGCCGCAGAAACTTTTTTTTCAAGAGTCGATTTCGTAATGGGATTACACAATGGTATGTCATTAGATTATCCGTCCCTGCCATGGCAAAACATAAGTGGATACTGCAGAGCGTCATATGCTCGATAAATTTCACTGATACAGCGTAGTTTATTATCGTAACTTTGAAGTACGATGTCCCTTATTCCAAATTGCTGACTTACAATAACCAGAGCTATTTCATTTTGAATTGGTGCGTTAAAGCGACCAACATGAGCATTATTGGGTTTTCTGTCTACACGGATGACCACTTTAAATTCTTTACAGTTATTTTGCACTGCATTAATCGTGGTCTTAAATTGTTCGGAATGGGACATTTTGGCGTGGCCGTTTTGGCGTGGCCGTTTTGATGTGGCCGTTTTGGCGTAGCCGTTTGGGCATGTAGCTATTTTGACGTAAAGCCGTTTTGGCGTAAATGTCTCAGGTCTCATATTAACTAATTTACCATTGTATAAGTATATTTTTATTTTTTGATAGTATTTATTGTATACGTATTGTTGGAATTAAATGATAAGTTGTAAGTGGGTTTTTAACTAAAGTTAAAATTAACCAGTTGACCAGTCAAAACGTATACTATCGATTAGATCGATTATCTACGTTTTGAATGATTTGTACCCGTTGTCGTTTCTTGTCTGTCGTGCGATAAGTTTATTATTTGTTGTCCTTTAATATTCTTAGCTAGATACAGCATAAATATTTCACACAAATAGTGAGTTTTTACTTTTAATATACATTTAAATCTTTTATACAAGTAGTGAGTTTTATTAAATTATTAAATTAATTAATATTTATTTATAATGTCAAAATTAATTGAATCCACGAAAGAACGAGATGTTTTAGTGAACAATGGTTATATGTATTTATTTGATGCATTAAGTAGTGATGGAGAACGTCGTTTTTGGCGTTGCCGAAACAAAAATGAATGCAAAGCTCGGGTACACACAGCAGTAGACGATATTGAAATAATAAAATCAATAAATGAACATACTCATGATTCTGAAGCACCAAAAATCGAAGGAAATATAGCAGTTAACCGTATAAAACGACGTGCAGCTGAAACCACGGAATCCACATCAAATGTCATAAATGAATGTCTGGCCGGATTATCAGAAGCAGCTAAAGTAGGTGTAATTTAATATACTACCTACAATATATACAGGGTTTCTCACGAAGATCTGACAAATGAAATAACTTTTGTTCTAATCAATATTTTTAAAAAAAAAATTAAATATAATTTTTTGCAATACTGAAAATAAAAAACTAAAAAATTGATAAAAAAATTTCCAAAATATTCGAAAATAGCCAATTTGTGAATCTAATTAAAAAAAAAATTTAGATGGTAAAAACATTTTTTTAAGTCCAGTGGCTGATTTTTCTACAATCTTTTAAATATCAATATTCTCATTAGGTAAACTACAATCTAGTTTATGTAAGAAACATTATTTTTTTTTTAAATATTGATTAGAACAAAAGTTATTTCATTTGTCAGATCTTCTTGAGACATCCCGTATATATATATACTACTAATATAATATATATTATAAATATCAATATTAATATTGATTATATTATCGAATACGGTTGATCAGGTTGTAACTTTAAATTATTAATTAAATAAGTCGTAATATTAATATTATTTTTACTTTATTTCGCTTTATTTCGCCTTTAACATCATAATATTATTATAGATTAAATTATGGTCCCTATTAATTATTATTTTATAATTTTTTTAGGGAGCAATTCAATCTAATTATGCATTAAAAAAACAAGTTCGAAGAAAACGAAACAATATACAAGCTGTACCTGAAGCACTGAAGGATCTTTTAACTTTAGAAATACCTGAAGTGTATAAAATTTATTCACCTTCTGAAGGGCATGAAGAACAATTTTTATTAGCTGATAGTGGACCTGGGGCAGAAAGAATTTTAATTTTTGGAAGACGTCGATATTTGGATATTCTACGAAACTCTAAGACATGGTTTGGAGATGGGACTTTTAAAATTTCACCCCCACTTTTTAAATCGAATAAATGATAACAAATAATTTTATTTTATTTATTTTTATTTTATACTATAAATAACCTGAGACATTTACGCCAAAACAGCTTCTCGTCAAAATGGCTTCATGCCAAAACGGCTATGCCAAAACGGCCACGTCAAAACGGCCACGCCAAAACGGCCACGCCAAAATGTCCTAGATCCTAAATTGTTTGATATAACTGTTTTTTTCATGAAGCATGCTTTGCAATTGTGAGACCAACCCAAATTACGAATTTGAAAATGTTGCCAAAACTTCAACTTTAATGCTTATAAAAATCGTGTTTACGTATTTTTAATATTTTTCAGCTGCTATTGCAACAATATATCAAGAGTTTTCAAATTAATTTTCATGCTTTTTAAACCCAATCAATAAAATGTTATTGACATTTATAAAAAAGAAATAAAAAACAATTTTAATTTAAAATATCCGAAAACAACTCAAAACAAATTAAAATATTTTGAAAATTTTATAAATAGAATAAATGAAAAAATAAACATGTGGTGTAAATTTCAAGTAATAAAAATATTTGTTCTTGATAACAACAAAATAAGAATATTGCTACTCGAAAATCAAGTGAATATCCAACGTAGTAAAAATTTAAAATTCAAACACTCATAAAAATTTAATTCAAATTCAAAATTTAATTTTTTGCTCCTTATTTTCAGCTAAAAAAAAAATAACTGCAGCATATTCTCTGCCAAAATGTTAGCAATATACTCTGCTATAAGATAATATTACAAATTTAAATTTATATACAATTTGTATATCGTATTTTAAGATAATTTTATCATTATAATTATGAATATGGCCTAACGTAACCTAACCTGACTTCGGAGCTATCAAAAAGCCGGTGACTATTATAGCAATTTGGTTTCCAATTAGCATAGCAATACGAGTAATATAGCATAATATAGCCAGTAGCTACCACTCATATGACAAGTGACGGTAGTATTTTATACGTATAAGGCAGTCGGCTGAAGGAACTTGTTATTCTGACAATTCAGAGACAACATCGTAACACTAAGTTGAAATGTTGACAGCATTTATTTAATTGAAAATGTACAAATTATTTTGTTGTAAAAACGTATAAAATATTCATCTTTTATAGATAACGGTTGAAAATTGAAATCAACATAAATAAGCAGTTATTTCTATAACCAAAAATCTAAATATATATATACATATATATATATAAGCATAGTTTTTTTAAATAATTATTTTAAGTTCAAATTCGGACAAAATTACACATTTGAACCTAGAATAACGGGTTTTGTTATTTTGTTTCGAAAAACGAACAACCGTAGATACTTTAAATTTACATGAAATGTTTATTTCATAATTTCCTATACTTTCTAAAGTTTTTGAAATATTTTGAATTACATTGAATTTTTTTATTTTTTTTTTTATTGATCATTCGATTGATAAAACATTTTTTTAATTTTGTCATCATCAGCACAATTGACAGTGTATGAAGCAATTCGATCTTCTGACCCATGTGAATATACCTATAATATGGTACTTTTATGGAGACAATGTGGTGTTCATACAACTGCAATCAAAACAATAATTATTAATTATTATTATTATTTTAGATCCTGAGCCTAGCAATTAATGTATTGATTTTACAATGTTTAAGATTTGTGAGTGTTCTTTCTGTCTGTTTTGGCGCAGACAAAATCTCACCTCACGTGTAATATTAACAATTTGTACATATTATATGACCATTGCCTACGTTTTGTTTTCAGAAATGCAAGCGATTCACACTCAATTAATATAAAATACTTATTAACACGTGTCATAGAGAAATTTAACATCAAATAACAATGGCACTTCATGATTTTGATAATTACGCATTTTCACTAATTTGAATTTTTTGTACGTCGAGAACTTTGAGTCGACTATTGAAACACACTGTGAAATGAAATATAACATTTAGAATTTTTAATTACAGTATGAAAAAAATGATAAAGAACGTTGATTAAACATTTAAAATTTTAATACATGACATTTTCACTAAATATTAATTAATTTTGTATTTTCTGTACAGGGTATATTTACATTAAAATTAAGCTCTATTTGAACAATTTAGAGACATGAAAAAAGAAAGTTCTCCATAGGCGGTTGTTAATGGAAATTTGAAAAAAAAAGTAATAGTAAATTGAAAATAATTTTTCAAATAAAATTTCTTTTGTGGGTAAAATGTTTTCAAATTCGTGTTCTCAAGTGTATGTAAAACCACCGGAAATATTCGATTTAAATTTTATATTGTTTTTAATGAAAATATATAATTTTATAATAACGTCTGAATACTTTTATCTTCAAATGAACGACTAAAAAAAAAAAAAAACATTAAGTGACTAAAAAAATAAGATATTTAAACAAAAAATATAGATTTTAATAAATTGATTGTAATTTAAAAATATTATTCGATGGTACTTGAAACTTTTATGATATTATTATATTTCATATACACAAAAACATTTTCACATGTGATTTTTTTTTTCAAAAAATTAATTCAACCTACTTTGTTGTGCCATGTATGCACATAAAAACGATTATATATACACCTGTTTGATGTGTGTATGGCGTCTGCCACATGTTTGTTGTGACTAAATAAATAATCCATGTACATTGCTTAGTTCATATTAAAAAATATGTATATATACTCATGGTAGTGTTAAGGAAAATTGTTTTTTATTCATACCTTTTTTTTTTTCAAATTATTGATTATCATGTATTTTTCAAAATGGTCTTATATTATGTTTTTGTAACGGATGAGTCTTTTTAAGAGAATTTTTTCGAAGATTTTTGAGAAAGTAGGGAGAAGGCTTATCGGTCTATATGATGCAGGATTTTCAGGAGGTTTGTTTGGCTTGAGAATTGAGCCTGA